CAATGAGTTTACTAAAAATATGTATTTGTATTTTCCTCTATTTTTAATCTTAATTTCAATCCGAAGGATGTAGAGAATGTCTAAGACCTGCGGCAACAATATTCTTTAAGACGGGTTTTTGGAAGAGGTATTAATCAACCAAGCCTGGTCAAGCTCGCTCGAGATTTTAGAGGCGCCAAGGCAGGACACTTTCTGGCTTCCCGCCTGTAACATCTGCGCTGTTACCGCGCGCTTATTTATTCTGGCTAACTGGTCGAGATTAAAATTTATAACGACGCAGTTTCTAAAGCGTGCTTGTAAAAACACGAGTGGGCTGTGAAGGCGTGGTGGCCTCATGGTTACTGTGCTCGTCTCCGGATAATGCAAGCGGTCCGGAATAGAAATACCTCTAGTTGCTTCATGCTACGGAAACCGGAGATAAGCGCTGGCCTGCTGGGCCACTTGACTCGTATACAGAATTTACACGGAGGAAAAGACTTCTTACAATTTCTGTCATAAAGTATGTGAGATACTACGCGTGCTCTCATTGGTTGATAGGTGTGTTTAGATCAGAGTGTGTAAACACGGTTGTGACGTTTTAGATTCGCGCGTATCGTTGAGAAACATTTTATAAAAGCAATGAAGCACTTTTTTCGTGTTTATATAGCCTCATCTAAACTCGCGGGGTGTTGGGTCAGTTCTCGAAATTTATACAAGCACTCGACTACGTTTCGGGTTTGCATAATTGTCTCAAATTCTCCGAACCCGTAGTGTTTACAAAGTCTATGTAAACACGGAAAAGGTACTCTGTTGCTTAACTATAGACCACTGAGTCGAGATAGGCCTAACCATAGCTCATGCTGGAACTTAACTTTCTTACAGCAAGTGCTTGAATGGAAGTCGTGGTGCGCAGGTCCGAGTGACTTGGGACTATGGACGTAACGCCAGATTGTAATGTCGCCAATTTATGCCAATTACAACCTTGACATGCAAAGAACATGACAGCCATCAACAATAACAACTTAGTTACACTAAGTAGCCTTTTAGCCAAAGATGTCCCTCTGGCGTACATTCTGCCTGAGCGGCCCTCGACTTTCAACCTGAAAGCAAGTTTCGTGAACGACAAGAAATACATTATCCACGACTACTCTTCGAACATTACCGCTGACCACAGATACTTGAAGGCGATGAGAGCTTGCCCTGTGGCAGGCAATGAGCTTCCTATCCTACTGACACGTGCTGTGCATCCCCGTATAAGAGAAGTAAGAAAAACACTAGATTATAAAAAAAAAAGTAGAAGTTGGGGAAAAGGGAGCGACTTAGCTTGTGAACCAGAGCGCGTTGCATGATGGGTACAGATGTGAGGGGGTTTGGGTTCTAGCCCTGGCCAGTTTCAATAAGTGGAACTAATTTTCACATTTACGTAGTCTCACACGAAGGTTACTCGACACTTGGCCATCTATCTATATGACAGAAATTTATTATACGGACACCGGGAGTCGAGCCCGAAATTTGATTCAGGATACATTCACTTACACACTACACCACCGGAGCGCTGGCTGAAAGTACCCGAATTTTTTAACTCATCTGGTTCATCAGGAGCCCATCACCCGGATCCTCCATATGTACTATAACGTAGAGTCAACCCTTTCGATTCCCGTATCATTCTATTTCTAGAACTGTAATTCGCGTAAGGGTCTCTTGGTTTCCCACGAAATATCTCGTTTATGCAGATAGAAAATGCAAAATAGAGCGTAAGAAGGAGATCTCAGTCTATGTTGTAACAAGGAATGGTCTTAGCTCAGGTATCATTGGTTATTGAAAAGGGGTCGTGTGAACTCCTACAATGCTCTTTGTAAAAATAGAAAGATACGGGAAAGGGTTGCCTCACAGGGTTAGTATAGGAGATGGAGGCTCTGGGTAATGGGCTCCTGGTTTCATACATTGTTACTTTATATAACAAGTCAAGAAATGTCTACCAGGTCTCACTCAGCTCTCACTCATTGTTAACAAAGATTTTCCTTAGGGGTAAGGGTTTTTGAAGAACGCGCTGTACACGTACACTTCCTCCTCCCTCTTGTGACTAAAAAGGCCATGGGCCAGTAACAGGTAACTAGGTAATGCCTTAGTATCCCAACACAGCTATTAGCCACAAACATAACATTGAAGCAGGGCTGATTACTACGTAGAGAGTTTAACGGGACAGTGACATAGAGTCTAGGTCATTACCATGCGCCAGTAGACAATTGGTCCTCAATCCGGTTGTTCTGTGTTCTGATGCTACACAGTGCTGACGAGACTTAACCAGGTCGAAACAGCTGTCCACGGTTACAATTTTTGGCTTTCTTTTTGGGCTCTATGAGTAACCAGCCTTACTTCAATGTTATGTTTCTATTTTTGGCCAATCAGATCTTTTACGGATCTTGCGTGTACCAACGGCGTTTTGGTTTGCGGTCCTTTGCATCGTTGTAGCCTACGTGTAGCCGTACCCACTCCCCCCCCCCCCCCCCCCCCCCC